CATGATAGCACCACTGTACTCCAGTCTGGGTGACAGAGACCTTGTCGCAAAAATTAATAAATAAAGAGGGCCCTTCTAATTATATATGCTTCAGGTACCCTAAAAACTGTATCTGCTCCAGTGCTTTTCCAAGTATCTCTGATCTTGAAGACATTCTTCCTGGACCTGACATCCCTCTCTGGCTGTAGTTGTATCTTTCCCTCTATTCTTCTGATTCATACTTTTTGAAAGATGGATTTATGCTCACCATCCCTACTCATTTCAGCCTATTCCTTCCTTACTATGTGTAGTAGGTTGAATTGTGCACTCTGCCCAAAAAAAGACATGGCACCTAGAACCTGTGAATGTAACCATATTTGGAAAAATATCTTTGCAAATGTAATTAAGGATGTTGAGATGAAATCATATGAAGGTGTCCTTATGAAAGGAGGGGAAAACATAGAGATAGACAAGAGGAGGTGAGGTGCAGATGAAGGCAGAGATTAGAGTGATGCTTCCACAAATAAATTATTAAATTAAATTAATGCCCCATCAGGGGCATCTCTCCCTGTGCTTGTCCCGTCAATCATGGGCACCAGGACACTGTACTTGAGAGTACAACCTGTCCTTCTTACTCAGTCCCCAAGGACATTAGATGATTAGATTTAACCATGTGACAGCCCTAGATCTATATTTCTAGTCTAGATTTCTCTCCTAAGCTCTAAATTCATATATCAACTTAATATTCACAGGCACATCTAGCTCATCACCTTTGCCCCATGCCCCTGGTTCTAACCCAATATTTTGTCTTGATGAATGGTCTCACTATCTATCTAGTTAAATCATGATATCAGAAATCTAGATATCATTTTCTCGCTCCCCATATCCAACCAAACATTCAGTCCTAAAAGATCTGTTTCCAGGGCCAGGTTCAGTGGCTCATGTCTATAACCCCAGTATTGTGGGGGGCCAAGATAGGAAGGTTGCTCGAAGTCAGGAGTTGGAGATCAGTCTGGGCAACAAAGTTACACCTGATCTCTACAAAAAATTCAAAAAATAAAAATTATCCTAGCATGGTGGAACATTCCTGTAGTCCCAGCTACTTGGGGGTAGAGTGCAGACTAAGTTGGGAGGATTACTTGAGCCCAGGAGCTCAAGGCTGTACTGAGCTGTAACCACACCATTACACAACAGCCTGGACAACAGAGCAAGACCCTGTCTCAAAAAAAAAAAAAATGCATCCTTAACCTTTAGAATTTGTCTCCACTGAATTCATTCTACCTCTTGCCTTATTTTAAGTTCTTATTATCCCATACTTGACCTTCTATTGTTTGGCTAGATCCCTGTCCTCTGCAAATAACCTGCCACTTTGCCACTGAAATGACCTTTCTAAAGACAAGCTGAAATTCTTTATAAAATTATGAAACAGCTCCTCTCTCAACTTTCAGAATAAGTTAACAATTGGTTTCCACCTCCACTGGTAGCCTCATCTCCTAGCACTATTCCGTGGGTATTCTCACCTCAACTCTCCAGAATGTACTCCTGGACCCTTAAACACATCTGTACCTGCTGTTACATTCCTGTCCCTTCTGCTTGTCATTCTTCCTCACCTTGGTTTATCTAACGTTTACTCAAATTTTCAAAACCTCACTGTCCAAACATCACCTTATCCAGAGTGCACTCCTTGAGCCCAGACTAAATTTCTTTTATTTATTTATATTTTTATTTTTATTTTTTAGAAACAGGATCTCGCCCTATCATAGGCTGGAGTACAGTAGTGCAATCATAGCTCAGTGCAGCCTCGACCACCTGGACTCAAGCCAGTCTCTTGCCTCAGGTTCCTGAGTAGCAAGTAGCTAGGACCATAGGCTTGGGCCACCACACCCAGCTAATTGTTAAAAAGGTTTTGTAGAAACAAGGTTTCCCCATGTTGCCCAGGCTGGTCTCGAACTCCTAGGCTCAAGGAATCCTCCTCTCTTGGCCTCCCAAAGTCTTGTGATTATAGGCAGAAGCCAATGCACCCAACCTAAATTACTTTTAATAACGATTCATTTTAATTATAAAAGCAATGCATGATCATGGTCAAGAACTCGGAAAACAAAAGCATAATCCCACTGAGAAGGATTACTATTATCATTTGGTCAAAGAGCCCAAAACTTAACTGATGGCAGTAAAGGGCAACAATAGACTGTTTATAAAATGGAAGAATTACATGGTAAGCTTTGACCTTTTGCCAAAAGTAGAAAGCAACCAAAGTGTCCTTCAGTAGGTGAATGGATAAATAAACTGCAGTACATCCAGACGATGGAATATTATTCAGTGTTAAAAGGAAATGAGCTACTGTGCTCGCTTCGGCAGCACATATACTAAAATTGGAATGATACAGAGATGATTAGCATGCCCCCTGTGCCAGGAGGACATGAAAATTTGTGAAACATTCCATTAATTTAATTTTTTCTCTTAAATGTTTTAAATGAAAAAAAAAAAGAAATGAGCTATCAAGTCATGAAAAGACACTGAGGAAACTGAAATGTGTAATATATTACCACATGAAAGAAGCCAATCCGAAAAGGCTCCATACTATATGATTCCAACTCTATGGCATTCCGGAAAAGGCAAAACTATGGAGACAGTAAAAAGATCCACGGTTGCCAGGAGTTAACGAGGAGAGAGGGATGAAAGAGAAAAGCATGGAGGATTTTTAGGTCAGTGAAACTACTCTGCATTATACTATAATAGTGGACACATGTCATTATACATTTGTCCAAACTCATAGAATTTACAACACCAAGAGTGAGACCTAATGTAAACTATGAACTTTGGGTGATTATGATGTGTCGACGTAGGTTCATCGAATGTAATAACTGTATCACTTTAGTGGGGAATGTTGATAGCAGGGGTGGCGGTGCATATAAGGAAGCAGGGGGGTCCTATGGGAAAATTCCACCTTCCACTAAATTTTGCTGTGAATCTAAAATTGCTCTAAAAATTGAGTCAGGCCAGGTATGGTGGCTCATGCCTGTTATGCCAGTATTTTGGGAGGTTCAAGGCCAGCCTGAGCAACATAGTGAGAACCCCATCTCTACAGAAATCAAACAAACAAAAAATTGGCTGAGCATGATGGCACATGCCTGCAGTCCCAGCTACATAGGAGGCTGAGGCAGGAGGATTGCTTGAGCCCAGGAGGATGAATCTGCAATAAGGCATGATCATGTTGCTGTATTACAGCCTGGGTGACAGGGTGAGACCTTGTCTCTTAAAAAAAAGAGAGAAAGAAAGAAATTGAGTCTGTTTTAAAAGGGCAGGGAGGTGGATAGTGCCGGAAGAGCCTAGAGGAGACTGACAAGAATCCTCAATTTCATCATTAATGCAAGGACAAGCCATTGAGGGGCTTTGGGGAATGCAAGAATGACAAGCTCTGATTGCCTTTTAACATAATCACTTTGGCTGCTGTGTGAATAACACACTGGAGGGAATCATAGTGGGAGCTGGGAGAACAGAATAGAAAGCTGTTAATGCGATTTAGATTAGCTAATAAGGACTTAGGCTACAAGAAAGGCAGTAAAGATGGCAAGATGTGCTAAATTAAAAGTAATCTTTGGAGGGAAAATTGACAGGACGTGGCAATGGATCAAATGTGTGGGTTGAAATAAAGGCAGAATGATGTCTAAGTTTTGGGATGAGCAACTAGAAGCCATTTTTTAGATAAAGGGATGAACAAAGTTGAAGCTAGTTTGAAAAGCAGGATGAAGGTTCACCTTTGAGCACTTTAAGTCTGAAACTCCTGGTAGTGCTTCACACTTAGTAGGTGGTCAGGTTGCTTGTCTGCTGTTGTTACTATTGTTTTTGTTATGAGCACAACAGAGTAGGTGAAATACTAGACACATTCATTATTTTTAAAAAACATTTTTCAGAAGTCAAAAGAATAGATGCAGAATCCTATAATTTCCCTGCCATCCCTGCCTCACAACCTGTCATAGTTTCTTTTTAATTTTTTTTTCTTTTTGAGACAGTCTTGCTCTGTCACCCAGGCTGGAATGCAGTGGCATGATCCTGGCTCACTGCAACCTCCACCTCCTGGGTTCAAGTGATTCTCCAGCCTCAGCCTCCCAAGTAGCTCAGATTACAGGCACACACCATCACATCCAGCTAATTTTTGTATTTTTAGTGGAGATGGGGTTTCACCATGTTGCCAGGCTGGTCTTGATCTCCTGACCTCAAGTGATCCACCCACCTTGGCCTCCCAAAGTGCTGGGATTACAGGGTGAGCCACCACACCTGGCCGAAAGTGTCTTGAATCCTTACACTCATTACAAGCCACTGAGGTTTATCCCAGTCACACTTGTCATAGCTCTGCAGAGACCACTCTGAAAAATCTGCTGGAATGCATTCATGTTAGTTTTTCAGTAAATAAATCATTATTCCCAAAGATCCAAAACAATGAATTAATTTTAATAAGAAAGCTTAATTTAATAAGAGACTCTCCAGTATTACTCTTCCAAAACAGTGGTTCTCAAAGTATATTCCCCAGACCCACAGCTTCAGTATCTCCAGGGAACTTGTTAGAAATGCAGATCTTTGGGCCCCATCCCTTACCTACTGAATCACAAACTCTGGGGGATGAGCACAACATTCTGTTATCACAAGCCCTCCAGGTGACTCTGATGCATGTTCAAGTTAGAGAATCACTAATCTATAGCCAGGGGCGGTGGCTCATGCCTGTAATCCCAGCACTTTGAGAGGCTGAGGCAGGCGAATCACCTGAGGTCAGGAGTACAAGATCAGCCTGGCCAACATGATGAAACTTCATCTGTACTAAAAATACAAAATTGGGATACAAATGTAATTTGTATTTGGTGTACAAAAATACAAAACTGGGATTACAGGTGTAAGCCACTGTACATGGCCAATAGCAATATTTTCATCTGCATGAATAAAAGTACAGAAGAAAAGGGTTCTGTTTATTGACAGTAGGCGTAGCACATCCCTGAAGCAGGGGCTCCGGAGGAAAGTGTGCTTACCTGACAGATGCCACTGATACACATGTCCAAGGAGTCCGTGTTGCAACGAGTTCCATCCAGTACCTTAGGTGCCAGCTCCACCACCAAGTTTTGTCCTCGTGCATGACACTTGAGTGCACACGGCGCAGCAGGATCATTATATCGTGGAAGCCATTCATAATAACGCCCCTGATACTGGACATCATTGTAGGCTGAGCACTGCTGGGCTCTGAAATCTTCTGTATCTGGAGGGCAGTCCTGGGGACAGAGGGAAAAGGCCACATGCACATCACCCAGTGAGAGAGGCCAACAGAAGGTGAAATAAGTTAACCAGAATCTCATGAGACCACACCCCACTTGCCTCTATCTGGGAGTCACCTAATTCCCTGTCATTGTTGTTTTTAATGCATCTGTCTTTCCTCCCCTGTCAGGCTCCCTCCCATATCTTCACTGGTACCAAGTACCTGCCTTCAACTGGCTGTAGGATGGATGGCAGAAAACATAGCTTGTTCAAATTCTGTCTACAACAAAAGCAAATAAATTCTAAGTAAATGCCTTAAGTTGCTCTCATAATAAAAAGTGTTCGTACAAATATTGATGACTCATTGATCTTTTTACCAAATTATTGATTCCGCCCACCAGAATTTCCACAGCAAGATACTAGTTGAGAAAAGTGTTACTTTATTCATCAAAAATCTACTTTTGATATGTCAAACTTCATAATTAAAGAAAACAGATACAAAAAAGCAATATAGCCACCAGGCACGGTGGCTTACGTCTGTAATCCCAGCACTTTGGGTGGCTGAAGCGGGCAGATCACTGGAGGTCAGGAGTTCCAGAACAGCTTGGCCAAAACAGTGAAACCCTGTCTCTACAAAAAATACAAGAATTAGCTGGGTGTGGTGGCGCATGCCTATAGTCCCAGCTACTCACGAGGCTGAGGCAGGAGACTGCTTGAACCTGGGAGGTGGAGGTTGCAGTGAGCCAAGATTGTGCCACTGCACTCCAGCCTGAGTGACAGAGCAAGACTCTGTCGCAAAAAAAAAAAAAAAAAAAAAAAGAAAAGAAAAAAAGAAACCAAACTCACACACACCATAATTTTATATTTTTATTATGAAAGTAATAAATATTCATTCTAAAAACTTTGGAAAATAGTTTCTACTCAACAAAAGAATAGATAACATAGATCTTTTGTATCTAAATCTTCACACAAATCTTGATTATTTACCAAGGAACTCTTTCTGGAATTAAATTTCTGCATCCAAGGTTATACACATTTTATAGACTATTCAAAATATTGCAAAATTGCCCTCCACTATAATTTTCTAGTTTTTTTTCCCAATCAGAAATACTTCATTGTTTTCATTTGCATTTTCTTTTTGAGATAGAGTCTTGCTTTGTCACCTAGGCTGGACCTCCCAGGTTCAAGAGATTCTCCTATCTCAGCCTCTCGAGTGGCTGGGATTACAGGCTTCTGCCACCATGGCTGGCTAATTTGTTTTTGCATTTTTAATAGAGATGGGTTTTCACCATGTTAGCCAGGCTGGTCTCAAACTCCTGACCTCAAGTGATTCACCCACCTCAGCCTCCCAAAGTGTTGGGATTAGAGGTGTGAGCCACCATGCCCAGCTTGCATTTTCTTTTTATTGTTTAATATCTTTTCATGTGTTAATTCTTCAAATTTTTGTATTAATTCTACAAAAATTTCTTGTTTTATATCCTTTATCCATTGGCATTTTTGTCTTTTTATTATTTTCATCAGATGAAACTATTAAACTTCATAGAGAAATTATCAACTCTTCGTCATTTCTGTTGGAAATATTTTCCCCATTTCATTTTGTTTTTAGTACTTTGTAAAGTCAAAAAGTTTTACATTTTCATGTAGTCAGCTCTATTAATATTTCCCCTTAAGGTTTCTTTCCTTATTAATTGGCTTAGAAATGCTTTCCCACTCTGCTCTGAGAACAGATAAATACTTAAATGTATTTTCCTAGTTCCTTTATAGATTAGCAGTCATATTTAACTATTTGTTATATTTGGAATTTATTTAGATGAATCATTTAAGTTAGAAATCTAGCTTTATTTTTTTTCACAAATAGATATTGATAAATTATCAGCCAGGATTTTTAAATACAATTTTCCTCTTTTTGCTACTTGACTTTTGTATTTTATTGTTTACACTTTGGGCCTTTATAAACTTCCTTAAATCCTTTTTGGAAGTAGATAGGGAATAAATAGAATATAATTAACAAACATTCTTCTGAGATTAGTTGTATTATTTTGCTGTGAAACATTCCAAAATCCTATATTGCATCCACATTTTTGTTTTCTTAGCAAAATTAAACAAGGTTACACTAATAGAAGCAAGTCAAACTGAAGAAGACTAAAACTGGATGACTTTTTCTTTAGTCAGTGCCTTACTCTGTCACCCAGGATGGAGCACAATGGCATGATCACAGCTCACTGCAGCCTCGACCTCCAGAGCTCAGGTGATCCTCCCATCTCAGTCTCCCAGGCAGCTGGGACTACAGGCATGCGCCACTACACCCAGCTAATTTTTTGTAGAGACAGTTTTGTCATGTTGCCCATGCTGGTCTCAAACTCCTGGGCTCAGGCAATCTGCCTGCCTCAGCCTCCCAAAGTGCTGGGATTACAGGCATGAACCACCATGCCAGGCCAGATGACTTTTCTCTGTTGAAATGAGGATTGTATCCTCCATCTGGCCATAGGAAGGATCATCAATTACAAAATTACATCACCTCCTCTTCCTCCAGCCATGGCTAGTTTTCTCTATATCTCACTCTTCGAAACCAACCAAAGGAAAGTGTCTAAGAGAGCAGGATGCAAGCAACTTCTTTGCATTAGGCTCAATGGCAACATTCTCTAGGGACTGAACGGGCCGGCTAGCTAACTCTCAACTCCCTTAAATTCCATAAACCAATGAAGTTTCACAAAATTAACAAGAGCTAATTAGCGGAAGACACGTTAGAATGTCAGCCGTAGGGTGGCCAGATTTGTACATGTGACCAGCCCCCTTGGCCACAGCTGACTATCCAGAGGCAAACATCTGGTACACACCAGGTCAATCTTTCCCAGGAATTTGAAATTGCAACAAAAGAGCTGGAGCCAAGAGAGTTAAGAACTCATATCAATCTAGGGCTGGACTCGCCATTTCTTTTATAAGATTCATGTTGAAGCAAAGCAAGCCAGTTCCCACAGCAAAGAAGAATGAATTCGATAAGAAAGGAGGAGGAAAGATAGTAAACTATGCATTTAAATAGGAATAAGTAACCAGTGTTCCTCATTTTCTGATTTCTGGCTCCAGGCCCTCAAGGCCTGCTTATGCTTAAATTCCCTTAAAAACCCATATATCCATCCAGTGAATCCCCTTTATCCTGAGCTAATGTAAGTAGACTTCTGTTCTTAGCATATGATGCTATCTGATTAAGGCAGCCTGATATCCAGATCATGCTTTCTAGTTTCCCAGGGGTAATCACTGACATGCTCTTTTCACCACCACCCTTTGAACTAGGTAGGTCAGGATTATTACCTTCACTCTATAAATAGAGAAAACTGTGACCTAGGAGGGGTAGCGCCCAAGATAGCCAAACAGGAACAGCTCCAGCCTCCAGCTCCCAGCGTGAGTGACACAGAAGACAGGTGATTTCTGCATTTTCAACTGAGGTGCAGACCGACACATCACACCTCTCACGGCTGGGTACACCCTGAGACAAAGCTTCCAAAGCAAGAATCAGATAGCAACACTTGCTGTTCAGCAATATTCTATCTTCTGCAGCCTCCGTTGCTGATACCCAGGCAAACAGGGTCTGGAATGGACCTCAAGCAAACTCCAACAGACCTGCAGCTGAGGGTCCTAACTGTTAGAAGGAAAACTAACAAACAGAAAGGACACCCACACCAAAACCCCATCAGTACGTCACCATCATCAAGGCCAAAGGCAGATAAAACCACAAATATGGGGAAAAAGCAGTGCAGAAAAGCTGGAAATTGAAAAAATAAGAGCGCATCTCCCAGGGAACAAAGCTGGACGGAGAATGACTTTCACGAGTTGAGAGAAGAAGGCTTCAGTTGATCAAACTTCTCAGAGCTAAAGGAGGAACTACGTAACCAGTGCAAAGAAACTAAAAACCTTGAAAAAATAATGGATGAATGGATAACTACAATAATCAGTGCAGAGAAGACCATAAAAGAACTGATAGAGATGAAAACCATGACACGAGAACTACGTCACAAATGCACAAGCTTCAGTAACAGACTCGATCAACTGGAAGAAAGATTATCAGTGATTGAAGATGAAATGAATGAAATGAAACAAGATGAGAAATACAGAGGAAAAAGAGTAAAAAGAAATGAACAAAGCCTCCAAGAAATATGGGATTATGTGAAAAGACCAAATCTACATCTGATTGGTGTGCCTGAAAGTGATGGGGAAAATGGAACCAAGTTGGAAAACACTCTGCAGGATATCATCCAGGAGAACTTTCCCAACCTAGTAGGGCAGGGCAACATTCAAATTCAGGAAATACAGAGAATGCCACAAAGATACACCTTGAGAAGAGCAACTCTAAGACACATAATTGTCATATTCACCAAAGTTGAAATGAAGGAAAAAATGTTAAGGGCAGTCACAGAGAAATGTCGGGTCACCCACAAAGGGAAGCCCATCAGACTAACAGCAGATCTCTCAGCAGAAACTCTACAAGCCAGAAGAGAGTGGGGGCCAATATTCAACATTCTTAAAGAAAAGAATTTTCAACCCAGAATTTCATATCCAGCCAAACTAAGTTTCATAAGTGAAGGAGAAATAAAATCCTTTACAGACAAGCAAATGCTTAGAGATTTTGTCACCACCAGGCCTGCCCTACAAGAGATCCTGAAGGAAACACTAAACAAGGAAAGGAACAACCGGTACCAGCCATAGCAAAAACATACCAAAATGTAAAGACCATCGAGGCTAGGAAGAAACTGCATCAACTAACGAGTAAAATAACTAGCTAATATCATAATGACAGGATCAAGTTCACACATAACAATATTAACCTTAAATGTAAATGGACTAAATGGTCCAATTAAAAGACACAGACTGGCAAACTGGATAAAGAGTCAAGATCCATCAGTTTGCTGTATTCAGGAGACCCATCTCACATGCAGAGACACACATAGGCTAAAAATAAAGGGATGGAGGAAGATCTACCAAGCAAATGGAAAACAAAAAAAAAGCAGGGGTTGCAATCCTA